CATGCTCACACACTCTACAGGTGTTCAATAGAAAACACACACACACACACACTCACACACTCTCTTCCTCTTTCCTGCAATGTGCTGTTTGGGAGCTTGAGGTTTCTCTCTTCTTCCCAAGTTTCTCAGTGCCTGGGCTGGGGAAGGAGGGCCCAGGCCCCAGCAGGTACAGACACTGCAGCCTAGAGGCAGGAGCAGTGGGAGTCAGTACTTCCGCTGCCGAGGGAAGAGACTACTCCCGGAGGATCGGAGTGGGGGGCTGGCAGGGCTGGGGTCTTCCGAGTCCAGGCTGAAGAGGTCTCTCCCAGTACGAAGGATCTGCTCCTCCAGCTTCTTGTGTCTCTTCATGTCCGACAGCACTTTGTCCAGGCGGGCCTCCCGTTTCTGGCTCCGGGCTGAGCTTCCTGGAGAAGGGGAAGGTAAGATACATGGAAGAGATGGAGGTGGTGTGCACCAGACCTGCCTGGACTTCACTCATTACTTGGGGAGTTGGTTAAACATGCAGGTCCCCAGGCCTCTGTCTTGGAGGACCTGAGGTTCAGGGTTGGACCTCAGAGAGAGTGAGCAGCAAAGATCCTGAATGACAGGAAGGCACAGGTAATGTGAAGACCAGGGAGACACCAGACAGGCGAATGGCAAGAGTAAAGGCCCTAGGACAAGAACAGAATTCTGTTCAAAGAAGAGTGCAGGCCGGGCATGGTGGCTCACGCTTGTTAATGCCAGCACTTTGGGAGGCCAAGGTGGACGAATCACGAGATCAGGAGTTTGAGACCAGCCTGGCCAACACAAAAAATTAGCTGGGCGTGGTGGTGGGCGCCCGTAAATCCCAGCTACTCGGGAGGCTGAGGCAGGAGAATTGTTTGAACCCGGGAGGTGGAGGTTACAATGAGACGAGATCGCGCTACTGCATTCCAGCCTTGGTGACAGAGCTAGACTCCATCTCCAAAAAAAGAAAAAAAAAGTGCAGAGAACTGGAGGTGGCGGGAGAAGCGCTTGGATTCTCCTTTGACATGCTCTTCCCTGGCAAGATGGAATCCCTTGGAAAATTTTAAGTCGAAAAGTGACATGAGGCCGGGCACGGTGGCTCACGCCTGTAATCCCAGCACTTTGGGAGGCTGAGGAAGGCAGATCACGAGGTCAGGATATCGAGACCATCCTGGCTAACATGGTGAAACCCTGTCTCTACTAAAAATACAAAAAATTAGCCGGGCCTGGTGGCGGGCACCTGTAGTCCCAGCTACTCGGGAGGCTGAGGCAGGAGAATGGTGTGAACCCGGAAGGCGGAGCCTGCAGTGAGCTGAGATCGCACCACTGCATTCCAGCCTGGGCGACAGAGCAAGACTCGGTCTCAAAAAAAAAAAAAAAAAAAAACAAAAAACAAGAAAAGTGACATTTATGGCTGGGCACAGCGGCTCACGCCTGTAATTCCAGCACTTTGGGAAGCCAAGGTGGGCAGATTACTTGAGGTCAGGAGTTCAAGACCAGCCTGGCCAACATGGTGAAACCCCCTCTCTACTAGAAAATACAAAGATTAGCTAGGCGTGGTGATATGTGCTTATAATCCCAGTCACTCAGGAGGCTGAGGCAGGAGAAACGCTTGAATCCAGGAGGTGGAGATTGCAGTGAGCCAAGATCATGCCACTGCACTCCAGTCAGAGCAACAGAGAAAGACTTCATCACAAAGAAAAAAAAAAAATGACACGATTTATATTTTTAAATGATCATCCGAATTGCAGAAACTGGAAGCGGAGAGCCCAGTTAAGAGCTACTGTAACTATCTAAGCAAGAAAGACAGTGGCTTGGATGGGGATGTGGTGTTGAAAGTGGAGAGTAGCAGAGGTAATTGGAAATGTACATCTTATAGCTACCAAGACTTGCTGGTGTGAATGTTCAGGTAAAAGAGAGAGAAATAAAGAATGGCTCTAGGCTGGGTGCAGGGGCTCATGCCTGTAATCTCAGCACTTTGGGAGACCGAGGCGGGTGGATCACTTGAGCTCAAGAGTTGGTGACCAACCAGTCTGGGCAACACAGCAAGACTCCGTCTCTCCCCCCCCAAAAAAAAACGAAAAAAGAAAAAGAAAAGAAAAAAAGGCATGACTGAGGGTAAATTCTAGGAAGGCATATGGGGTGGGAAATGGGGTCATTGGTGTAATTAGAGGATGTACGTGGTGGTACAGGGATGCGGATCTAGATAATACTGAAAGGCCAGGACTTGGACTTCTGGGAATGGGAAACATGATAAAATTATCTGTAATTTTCCACAATCAATGACTAGTTGTTTTTTTAAAAAAAGGAATTATCTGTAATTGTGCTTTTTTTTTTTTTTTTTTTGAGACGGAGTCTCGCTCTGTCGCCCAGGCTGGAGTGCAGTAGCGATTTCAGCTCACTGCAAGCTCCTCCTCCCGGGTTCACGCCATTCTCCTGCCTCAGCCTCCTGAGTAGCTGGGACCACAGGCACCTGCCACCATGTCTGGCTAATTTTTTTTTTTTTTTTTGAGACGGAGTCTCGCTGTGTCGCCCAGGCTGGAGTGCAGTGGCACGGTCTCCACTCACTGCAAGCTCTACTGCCTCCCGGGTTAACGCCATTCTCCTGCCTCAGCCTCCCTGGAAGCTGGGACTACAGGTGCCCGCCACCACGCCTGGCTAATTTTTTTTTTTTTTGTATTTTCAGTAGAGACGGGGTTTCACCGTGTTCGCCAGGATGGTCTCGATCTCCTGACCTTGTGATCCGCCCACCTCGGCCTCCCAAAGTGCTGGGATTACAGGCGTGAGCCACTGCGCCCGGCCCAATTTTTTGTATTTTTAGTAGAGATGGGGTTTTCACCATGTTAGCCAGGATGGTCTGGATCTCCTGACCATGATCCGCCCACCTCGGCCTCCCAAAGTGTTGAGATTACAGGTGTGAGCCACCGCGCCCGGCCGTGATTGTGTTTGAGACGAAGTCTCACTCTGTTGCTCAGGCTGGAGTGCAGTGGTGTGATCTCAGGTCACTGCAACCTCCACCTCCCGGGCTCAAGTGATTCTCCTGCCTCAGCCTCCTGAGTAGCTGGGATTACAGGTGCCTGCCACCATGCCCGGCTAACTTTTTGTATTATAATTGTTTCTTAAAGGAATACGAGAGGCCGGGCACATTGGCTCATGCCTGTAATCCTAGCACTTTGGGAGGCCGAGGCGGGGGGATCACAAGGTCAGGAGTTCGAGACCAGCCTGGCCAACATGGTGAAAGCCCGTCTCTACTAAAAATACAAAAATTGACCTGGCCTGGTTGCATGCGTCTGTAATCCCAGCTACACGGGAGGCTGAGGCAGGAGAACTGCTTGAACCCGGCAGGCGGAGGTTGCAGTGAGTCGAGATCATGCCATTGCACTCCAGCCTGGGAGACAAGAGCTAGACTCTGTCTCAAAAAAAAAAAAGGAAAACGAGGTAGTAATCTAAGTCATAAAGATAGTGCTACTGGGTGAATACTCGCTCCTGAAGCTGTAAGTTGTGTGGCAGCTGAGGCAGCAAGCAAAGGCCTCTAGGGGAGCCGATCTTGGGTAACTGAGCCCAGGCCCTTCACCTCCCCCAACTGTCCCCTCTCGTTTGTACCTGGGGTGCGTCTCCGGTCAATCAGGGAGTCCTTTGGTGTCACTGGTTCATCATCAAAATCAAATTCCGTGGGCATGTGTGGTCTGGGACAGGTGAACAGAGTGAAGGGTGAGGGCGGTTCTCCCTCCCACCCACACCTGTGCTTCTCCCCTGCCCGGTTCCTCCTCCCCCGCTGGCTTCCCTCCCTCCACTTTCAAAGGTTCCAGGGTCCCACATTTTCCCTCCTTATTTCCTCCCGCCATCAGGGGAGCAGCCCATGGACAAGGTGTAAGAGTGTGTCTTTACTTTTCCTCTTCCTCTTCTTTGGCCTCCGGCTCCTCATCGGATCTCTCCTCTTCGCTCTGGGCCTCCGGCGTGGGAGGCCGGCGGGGCAGGATCTCGGCCTGCAGCTCCAGGGTACCGTGGGCAGCCAGCAGTTCATAGAGCCGCTGGATTTCGGAGGGCGGGGGCATCCAGGGCTGCCCATCTGCGGGCAGCTCCACCTCCTCGTCGCTGCAGGGCACGCACCAGTCATCGGAGTCCTCCTCCGCAGGCTCTTCCCTACAGGCGCTGGGGGCTTCTCCCTGCGCCTCCTCTTCCCCGGACCCCTCACGCTCAGTCTCCTCTCGGCCTCCTTCCTCCTCGTCCTCGGCCTTACCGGCCGAGGCAGAGGGGCCTCCGGTATCCTCCACGGCCAGAGCCTGGAGGCCGGAGGTCACTTCCCCTTCTTCAGACAGAGGCGCCGCCGTGGTGGCCGCAGTGTCTCCATGGCCCCGAGCAAGGGACATAGGCCACTAGGGCAGGGACCCTGCGATGACAGCTGCTGGAGTCCGAAGCCAGGGTCCCCCAGGGATCGGGCTCCCCGGGGGATTCGGGACAGTCTCCAGCCAATCAGGCTCCCGCAGGGGACGCCGCGGCCAGACCGCCCGTCCCCGGGAGGGGGCGCTCGGTCCCCACCAAGGACCCCACCCCGTGGATCGAGGTCCGGTACTCCGACGCTCCCGGGCCCCGCAGAAACCACTTTCCGAAAGGGGGAGAGGGGAAAGAGAGGGACGGGCTACTCTTCGTTTCCACGCCGCCTCTCTCCACACCTGGACGCGGCGCCCTCTCCCCAGACCTCGCAATTGTGGGCCACGTCAAGTCAGCCGCCGTACGCACCTGGAGCTAAGACCCGCCTCCCAGGCTGCGCAGGGTCACACTACGCAGGCGCACAGAAATGGCGCGGGAGGCTCTGCTCTAGTCTAGGCTACTTGGAAGAGGAAAGCGAGGGAAGGCTTGCACATGCGCGAATAGGCGCGCAGGCTTCAGCCCACAGTAAAGATGGCCACCGGGACGGCGCATGCGCATACCACCCAATAAGGTTCTGCCGGAAGAGAGGCAGCACCGGCGGGCCGGCGGGACGAACGCAGGAACCAACCGAGACTGGAGGCGAGTCTCATGCAGTCTCCGTTTATTGGTGTTTCAGACTCATGCAGCATCCGGCATACAAAAAGGGAGAAATCAGTTTGATAATAGCCGTTTTTTTTTTTTTTTTAAGAATTTTAGTTTTTTTTTTTTTTTTTTGGAAAAAAAAACCCCGCCAAATCCGAACCGCGTTGTAGCTCGGTGCCCGCCTCCTCAGCGGGCTGTCGCGTGCAACAAACCTCCCCCGTCAGCTTAGAAAATAATTATAGAGCGCCCCGCCCCGCCCTCGCTCCTGCCAGTGGGCGCTTTGGTCCTATTTTTTTGGATTCTTTCGTTACGAAGCACGTGAATGAATCTAGCCCGACACCTTCAAGAAAAAACTCGTGGACTGGGGTTGAAAAGCCCAGGTGGGCGGGTCAACTCCAGCTGACCTGGAGGGGTCAGCGCCGCGTCCCTCCCTTCTCCCCTGCGTGCGTTCGGAACCAGTGCTCGCCACCCTCGCCCGAGTCCCCACACGAGGCCCGGCTTGCCAGCTCTACGACCTGCAAGACACCCTTGGGTGTCCGACCCTGGGTGGTCCCAGCAGAGAACAGTCGGAGCCCGGGGTTGGGGAGCCCTCTCCCAACACTGCTTCCCGCCCCCAAGCCTCATCTAAGTGCTGTCATTTTTGCAGAGTAAACGGTGACGGGAGGTTGGAGAAGAGGATGCTTAAGGGAGATGAGGAGGCAGGAAGAGGAAGGGGGAGGGACGTGGAGAGGAAAGGGGAGATGATAAGGGAAGGAGGAGAGGACTGAGGGTTGAGAGATGCCAAGACAATGGAAGTTGGGAGGAGGCCAGGGTGGAGGTCCAGAGAATTTGGGAGGCGGGAAGAAGTGCAGGGAGGCCAGGAGAGATGCAGGGAGGCTGAGAGCGCAGAGTTGGGGAGGTGTTCAGGGAGGTTTCCAGAGTGCAGGGAGGTTTCCAGAAGTGCAGGGATAGGGGGCCAAGAGGCTGGAGGGGATGCAGGCAGAAGTGCAGGGAGGTTGGAACCAGTGCAGGGATGAGGGAGGCCTACAGTTGGCAGAGGAGCCTGGCAAGATGCAGGAGCAGGACAGAAGCTGTAAACAAGGCTGCTCAGGCTCCCTTGGTCCTTAGGGGTGGGGGCCAGGGCCATCAGTTGGGCTCCCCCCAGGGGAGGGATGGGCCCAAGGCAGCTCCCAACAGGAAGAAAAGTCTTGGGATGTGGGGCAGAGCCCCTCACTTATACACTGTGGGAGAGGAGAGGGAAGGACAGACGGGGGAGGGGGAGACAAGGAGAGACAAAGGAGAGGTAAGGAGGACAGACAGGAGAGAGCAGGGGCAGGGGTTAGTAAAGCTGCCCTTGCCAACCCTTCCATTCCTCCCCTGCCTGTCCCAAGCCCCCACTCACCGCCTAAGTTGATGACGCAGGAGGCGATGATGATGAGGACTCCCCCCACCAGTGCCACGATGCTTAAGAGCTTGGCCACACGGCCCAGACGCTGGGCCCCGTCCACGTCCCCCTGCTGCAGGCTGTTCCGGGACTGGGATTAGGGCGAGGGGTGGAGGCACATGGCCGGGGTCAGGAGAAGCCAGCCCAGAAGGGATCAGGTGGAAAAGTCATCCAGAAGAGAGAGGCCAGCCCCATGGATGGCGGGTAAGGGAGGAAGGAGTGGAGGGGCAGGGGGAGGAGGGCACAGGTCAGCGAGGCTGTGACACACATGTGTTTCCATATCCCTCCCACCCAAAGGGGCAGGGCAGTGGTGGCTCAGAGGGTTAGGTCCTAGGGAGAGGCAAACAAAGGCCCTGGAATTGGGGAGGTGGGATCCATGCAGACAGGAGAGGGTAAGGAAGGCATGATTACTCCTGGGGCTCTGTCACAGCACTGGCGGGAAGCTGGGAGCCACAGCAGGCCTGGGCCAGGGTCCCATGGGGCTCACCATGACAGCATAAGCGAAGGCCACGATGTTGACAGGCCACATGGGGCAGAAGCAGGACAGGATGGCAAGGATGATGTAGTCCCGAGGTTTCTGGGTGCCTTCACCCCCCTCCACCCCAGGACCTGCCAGCTGGGAGCTGGGGTGGCGGCTCAGGCTACCTCGGGGAGATCCTGGATGCCCACTGTGCGCCCTTCCCATTCGATCCTCCTCAACCAGCTGCTGCAGCACTCGGGGGGGAGCCCCATTAGCTGGGGGGGATTTTTTTGAGGGTGGCGAGTGAGGCTCAGGGGCTGGGCCCTCTTCCCCATCACCAGCCTGCAGGGGCACCACTGCCCCATTCTCTTGCTTTTCCTCCACACTCTCAGACAGAATCTCAGGGGTGGGGTCCTCCTGGGTAGGGAGCGCTGGTTGAATGGCTGGCTTGGGGGTGGGCTGGGAATCTGGCTGGGGGTCTGGCTGCGGAGCAGGCTCTGGGGCTGGTTCAGGTGGGGCTGCAGACTCCAGCCTGGACCCCTGGTCTGCAGTGGCCTCTTTGCTCACTTCTGGTTTGGACACTGTTTCTTGGCATGGCTGTTTGGGGCTGCAGTTGGCCTTTGATTCCCCTCCTGGGCTTAAGCTGAGGTCTGTGGCCTGGGCTGTTTCTGAGGCCCCAGCGGGGGTCTCTGGGGTTTCTGGAGCCAGCCCAGCCTTGGGCCCTGAGTCCACAAGGGCTGCAGTGGTGTCTGGGCCTGGCTGCAGGGCCTCTGGCTGGTCTGGTACCCCTGCTAGGACCTGGGGAGGACCAGTTTCAGCTTCAGAATGGCCAGGCCCTTTGCCTGGAACCTCGGGACTCTCCTCAACCCCCTTCATCTCAGAGACCTCAGAGCTGCTGGCTGCCATCTTGAGATGGGAGAGGGGAGAGAGCCCCTTTGGGGAGGATGGAATAGCAGAGACAGCGGCAAACCCTGGAAGAGGAGGAGATAGGCTTGGGGTGAGGAGGGAAGAGGGTTCAGCACTGCAGGCCCAGTTGGGCCACATTCCTGTCTCAGGGCCAGCCTTGCACTGCCTCTAGGGAGAGGAAGAAAGTTGGGGTTTCCTTTGCTTTAGGGTGGGACATCCCTGGGGGAGGAGTGCTCTACTCAAAGTATTTTGCTTGGAGAGCCCTGGGGAAGATTAACCCTTTTGTAAACAGGACCTTCTCCAGGGTCTCTCCCAGGGTCCATCCAACAAGATCCAGACTCTCAGATCCCAGCACCCCAAAATTAACGAGCTGTGCAAACAGCACTCCGACAGGCAGACTGGGCAGAGGACCCGACATTCGCATTCCACTCCCTCTGCATCCTCCCCTCCTCCCTGGGCGCCCAGGCGGTGCGGGTTTTCTTGCTGCGCGTTTAGGGCGAGGACGCCCCCGCTTCTTCCTGGGGGACCTGGTTATTTCCTCCGATCCCCTGTCAGCCCCTCTCCCGGGGCTTCCCTCGCCTTCGGTGGGCTGGCGCCTCCTCCCAAGGGTTCAGCCCGCCCAGCACCACCAGCCCTCTAGACACCCGCATTCCCGTGCAGCCCGCCCGGCGTCGGCCGTCGGTCGGTCCACTCCTACCCGCAGCCTCAGTCTGCCCGGGTCTCACCTCGACGCCGGCCTCCGGACAGCTCCCGCTGCCGCTGCTGGCTTTTGCAGCAGCCGCAGCCCGGGAGAGAGCAAGTCAGCTAGGGAGGGAGGGAGGCGGCGGGTCTCCCTCCTCTCCCCTCCCGTGTGCTCATCCCCTCCTCTCCGGTCCCCTCCCCTACGCTCCGCCGCCGTCGCGCGCCGCCCCCGCCCCTCGCGAGCCTCCGGCCCCTCCCGCCAGCCCAAGGGAGCCACGCGTTACCCAGGCAACCGGCCCGTGGACCACTCGCGCCCCCTCCCTGCCCCTTCCCACGCGCGCCTCCAGGCGGGGCCCCCCGCCTCCTTCCTAAGTCCCCGGCCCCGCCCGCCAACGGTCACCGGGATCCCTGGAAGAGACGGGGGTTGGGGAAAACGGAGAGGGTTCTGCGAGGAGACGGGACCAGTGAGACAGGCAGGGCCGGGTGGAGGCGCCTCTACGAGCAGGAGGAGGGGAAGGAAGATGGGGCAAGACACGGGGAGGCTGCAGAGGAGGAGCAGGGTGGGGTTTCGAGAGAATGGACCCTGCAGAAAGGAGCAGCAGAAACTAGCGCTGGAAGGCTCGAAAAAGGGGCCCTGGAAAGGACGGAGCGGGGACAGAAAAGGAAATTCCAAGGGGCAGGAGAGGCTGGGCAGAAGAGCCCGTGTAAACACGGGGTGGCCTATGCCCAGAATGAGGGGCAGGTGCAGCTTTCATTCTCTACCTCGCTGCTCAGTCCTAGGGCTCGGACTCCCCAGCCTTTCCGCAGCCGCATCCACCCACCATGGCCTCAGGGATGTAACGCGCGCAGGAAGGGATGCGGCTGGGGGCTGAGCAGCGGTCATGGGTGTGGACGGGGGGTGGCGGCATTCCTGTCTGGCAGCTGTTTGGGTTTCTAACCGGGCCTCTTCAAACCTCCAGGGGCTATTCTGGGCCTGTCCCGATTGGGAATTCCCCAGAGACCTGGAACTTGCTCTCCACAGCCACAGCCTTGGCCCCGCCCTAAATCTGTGCTGCCGCCAGTAAGGCTGCCCCTGGGGAGGGCGGAGCCAGAACCCCACAGCCGCACAGGGCAGAGCAAGGCTGGACTGATAAGACACCTGGCCGAGAACAAACCCTTGGGGGTGGGGGCAGGTGCTTAGTGATGGCAATTCATTTAATCCAGAGCCAGAAACAAGATTTTATTTAAAATTTATTGTAATAGGGTCTGCGCAAAAGGAAGGGGTGGAGGATGGGGTACATGCAGGGGACACAGGAACACGATGACATGGCCAGGGCCACAACTTCTGTCGTGGGGAAGAGGGATGAAAAGACAAGACCAGGGCTGGAGCTGGGGTGGAAAAGGGGAGGGGGACACTGGCTGCATTCCCCCGCCCCCAGGAAGCACCTCTAGGCCCTGGACCCCTCGCTCACCCTGGCCCCTAAGACTCCATCTCTTCTTTGCCTCTGGCCCTCCTGGCTCCTCCTTCTGCTCCCCTTGACTTTTTCCCCTGACAGATTCTCAAGCAGGACGATGTTCAGGGCTTGACCCCAAACCCCCATACCACCTTATGAAGGTACAACCTTTGCCGGCCCTGCTTCTGCCCCTCCTCAAACCTCACCGCTTTCCCTCTGGGACAGCTCTGATCCCCCTCCTTCCTCTCCTCCCTCCCCCTGGAAAAAAAAAAAAGGGAAAAAGAAAGCACCAACTCCCCGGGGAGGGGCTGCAGACAGCAGGGGGAGAGGACTGGAAGGAGAGAAGAGGACCTTCGAGGGAAAAGGCTCACAAGTCCCTGGGAGGACAGGGCATGGGCTTACAGAGAGGAGAGGGGGTACGGGCAGTGGCTGCTCGTGTCCTCTGCCACCCTGCCCACTGTCCAGGGGACTTCAACACAACCGAGGGGACAGGTTTGTGTGGGGTCAGGTCTGATAGAAGAGAGGAGCAGGAGAAACAAATCGTTAAAACCTAGCGAATTCCCCTAAGAAAACATTTCTTCCTCCTTTCCTTCCGGAGGCTCCTTGGTTGGTGGGGAAATAGGAGTTGGTGGGAAAAGAGCGGGGAGAGGAGCCTGTACCAGGGAACTCTACTCCATTCTCCCCTCTCCCCCGCAACCAAGTTGGAGCTCACCAGGGTTGGGAGGGAAGTGGCTGAGAGCTCACAGGCACCCCCTCCGCCCCCGAGAGGGAGCCCACAGCTGTGGGAGGGGCTGCTACTGCTGCTGCTGCCGCTGCTGCCGCCGCCGCTGCCGCCGCCGCCGCTGCTGCCATTGGACAAACCTCACCAGTACCTGCACACGAAAAACACCACGGATCACAGCGCGATCTGAATGGCAAAAGCCTTGCCCTCACCCCAGACCTTCCCAGTTTGCTTCCCCTGGGACACAGCCGTTGCTCACTTCCTATCTGGTTCCCAGAGGCCTCGGCCTGCATCCTCACCCAGACAGAGCAGTTCTCCTCAAAGGTCCTCCCTGTGCCCAGAAATCTCCCTAGCCTGAGTGGTACATGGGCATTCCTCGCCTTCCTGAGATCCCCTATTGGGCCCTTTGAGCCCCCTTGTCCCCCACACCCCCCATCCCGCCCCCCAGCCATGCCCCACGCCTTGCCTGGTGGGTGTGGGGTCCCCCTCAGCAGGTGGGCTGTGGCTGGGGGGCGTCTCCCGGGACAGGGGGGGCGGCCCCCACCAGATGGGTCTGCATGTGGCCGGCCAGCTGGGCAGGGGTCTTGCAGTGCACGCTGCACAGCTTGCACAGGATGCGGTCAGCCCGCGGGGCCTGGAGCCCGTGGTCCTTCACCGCGTGGATGCGCAGGTATGCTGCCGTGGTGAAGCCTATTGGGGGGTGGATTGGGATGGGGCGGGGGTCAGCCAGGCGGAGACCCCAGAGACGGGGCTGATCTCCTAGGCGGGGGATGTCCTCCTCAGATGGCCCTGTCCTCCTCCCACGGCATCCTTGGTAGCCTGGGGTTAACTGCTCTGCTGGGGCTGGTGGGCACAGCAGCCCCTCCCTGAGCCTGGGGCGTGGCTTGCGTGGTGCCCGCTTCTCAGCCTTGGTACCTACAGAGCTCACTCTCCATGGCCGGGAGACCTCTCCCAGGATGACAGGACACTGACTCCTAGCCAATGGCAGGGTTGACCCTCAGCAGAGACGGCTGTGTCCCCCTCCCTCCAGTGCCCCGCGGTCTCAACCCAGTTAACCGGTGAGTCTGACTGAAGGCAGCTTTCTCTGCTACCCGCGCAGGGTGCGTGCTGGTAAATCCCAGCCCGTGTACTACTCCACCTGCCCCAGGAGCTGGAGACAAGACCTTGTGGCTGCGCGGCGGAAACCTTGCCTTGTGACCCTTGGAACTGGCTTTCTTGACTACTCTCTTCCCCAGAGCAGCCAAGTTCCACTCCCGCTCTCCCCACGTATGCCCAGGAGGTTCAACCTCTCTGGCAGATCTCTCCTCCAGCCAGGACTTAAGAGTCTAACAACATTCATTCAGGTGTCCCCCGCTGCTCCCTTGACCTCTTGGAGGACTCTAGACGCCACGAGCTCTTGGCTACAGCACCCTTAGCCCGTATCCGTGGCAGGGCGTCTGGCTAGGCGCCCACCCTCTGCCCCTGGCCCTCCCGGCAGTCCTCGGCATGTACCTTTGTTGCAGAGCTCACAGACATGGTGAGGGCCCTGGCTGTGCACCTTCATGTGGTCCGAAATATAAGCCGAGCTCAGCATCTTGCCACACACGTGACATGGCACCTTCTCCTCGTGTCGAACTGTGTGCGCCCGCAGCCGATCCTTCGTGGCGAAAGCTGCCTCACATTTCTGGGGAGGGGGGAGGGGCGTGGGGGGTGTCACAGGAGAGTTAAAGCTTGGCGGGCTGGGGAGGGGGGAGCAAGAGGTTAAAGGTATCAGAGCCTTGGGGATCTTTGATCTGTAGGAAATGGGAGTGACATGATGAGGCCTTGAAAAAGGGATGAGAAAATGGAGTGAAAAGGCAAAAAGAAGAGAGAGAAAAAGGGGGTCTGAGAGGCTGAACTCAGACAGCTACCATGAGGATCAAAATCATGAAAACCAGGACGGGAGGAGGCGGGCTTCCTACCTCACATTTAAAGGGCCGTTCTGTTGAGTGCACTTGTCTGACGTGACTGTTGAGGTGATCCGGCCTGGGGACACGTTGGGGTTGGGGTTAGGGCGCAGGTGGTGCGCCCCAAATCCGCCAACCTGCACCACAGGCCTTTCCGGGGATCCCTGCGCCTCCTCCCGGAGCCCGGGCCGTCACAGCACCACTTCGGCAGGAAATCCCTCCCCTGGAACCCAGCCGCTGCCGCCGCCGCCTCCTCCCACGCTTAGCTTCCGTCAACCCCAAGGCCCACCTCCTTGACAAAGGACCACCCCTTGCTCCCTGGTAACCGGGAGAGGCTTCCTCCCTCCGCCCTGGGAGGGGCTCCCCTTCCCCAACCTCAGCAGCCGCCTCCCTCCCCGCCGGCAACGGCCAGGCCACCTCCGTCGCGTCCCTCCCTCCCCACGGCCTAGCGGGCGGCCGAGGCCCCGTGCACACCGGGAGAAGCTCTTGCCACAGTGGGAGCAGTTGTAGGGCTTGTGCACAGCGCCGTCATGTGAGCGCACGTGGTAGCTCATGCGGTCCTTGCGCTTGAAGCGCTGCTGGCACACCGGGCACTGGTAGGGCTTCTCGTCCGAGTGCGACAGCTTGTGTCGGTTCAGGTGGTAGACGTCGCGGAAGGCCTTGCCGCACATCTCGCAGGCGTGGTTCTTCCGGATGCGCTTCCCCGAGGCGGTCGTGGTCACCACGCCACCGGCGGCCACTGCGGCAGCGCCGCCGCCGGCACCCGCCTCTCCCCCTCCCCCGCCAGCTCCGCTCAGCTGGGGCACGCTCAGGAGGCTCAGGGGCACCATGGTGGGCATCTTCATAGCACCCGAGGGGACCCGGCCGGCCTTGGCTCCCGTGTGGATGGCTTCGTGCCTCCGGAGATTGTAGCCGTTCTTAAACTCCTTGGCGCACAGAGCGCAGATGTAGGGCCCCTTGCTCTTTGTCTTCTTCTCCAAGGCAGACGCAACCGGGGCCACTGCGACCGTCGAGGTTGGGGCTACGACAGCGGTGGCCGCCGCCGCGGCGATGGTGGCGGCGGAGGCGGGGGGCGCGGCCTCGGCCGCGGGCGCCGACACGGGCGGGGGTGGCGGAGGGGGCGCCGGGGGCTGCTTCAGGGCTGCTGTGTCCACCGTGGAGGCAGCGGCAGGGGCCGGGGGCGCGGCAGCGACGGCGGCAGCAGCGGCGGCGGCGGCCGCAGCAGCCGCGGCGGACTCCTGGGCGGCGGCAAGCACCGGGAGCAAGTCCACCTGGAGGGGCTCGGCCGCCGGGGCCTGGGGCGTGGGCGGGGGCGCCGGCGCGGCCTACGGAAACAAGGCGCCGAGTGGGCCGCGAGTGCGGGCGGGCGCCCCCCCAGCCCGGGCCGCCGCGGCCGGCCCTACTCACCTGGAATGGACTCTGGGCGCAGCCCTGGGAGGCAAAGAAGCGGGACTGGAGCTCAGCCCCGACCTGCAGGGGGTTCTGGGCGTGACCCTGAGGTGGCGGGAAGGAGTTCATGAGGCCGCCCACCCCCCGGGAGTCCAGGCCCAGCACGGGGAAGGGGGGGGCCAGCAGCGTGCAAGGGAACACCGGGAACATGGCCTCGGCCGCAGCGGGGCCCCCGGGGCTCAGCGGGGGCCGGGGGCGCGGGCCGCGCGGGGCCCGGGCTCGGGGCGCCGCCCCCGGCCGGCCGGGCTGGGCCGCGCCGAACGCATGGCCCGCGGGCCGCCCCGCCGCCCGCGCACCCCGGCCGGCGGGAGGGAGGGAGGGAAGGAGGGCGCCTTGCGGGCCGCGGAGCGCCGCGGCGACGGCGGCGGCGACGCCCCCTGGGTGGGGGCGGGTGGCCCCGCGGGGCCGGGGCCGGGGGCGGGGGCCCGGGCGGCGGCGGCGGCGGCGGCGGCGGCGGCGGCGGCGGTTGGAGCCTGGCGGGGCGGGGTGGGGGGAGCGAGGGAGCAGCCTCGGCCCCCGCCGCGCGCGCGCCCAGCCGGCGCCTCGGGGAGGGCGGGGGAGGGCGCGAGGGAGGGAGGGGGACAGCTGCGCGCGCACCGGGCGCGCGGAGGGGGGGTGGGACGGGAGGGAGGGCGGGCAGGAGGGGGTGTGGGCAGGGGGGTGGGGGCGGGGGGAGGGGGTTGTTACCTGGAAGATGAAGCTGCTCCAGTTGCTGGGATCCATGGCGGAGGGAGGGAGGGAGGTGGCTCGCGCTCACCCTGGGGCGGGAGGAGGAGGAGGCGGCGGTGGGGGAGGGGGAACCCGGGGAGGAGGCGCGCGGGGCGGGCAGGAGGGGGGAGGTGGAGGGTGGGGGGAGCGGAGCACACTGCGCGCGGGGAGGGCGGGCGGGGGGCGCGAGGACACACAAGAGGCTGGAGCGGGCGCGAGCGCGAGCGCGCGCGTGGCCAGCGGGAGGGGCGGGCGCGAGAGGGACTCTGGCGGGAGGAGGGACGGGGGAGCCACCCAGCAGCCCGAGTCGCCCCAAGCGCGAGACCCCTGAGACGGCTGCTGATTGGCTGACGATGGCGCAGGTGGTGGGCGCGCGGGAGACGGGGCGGCTTCTCTCCTCTTCCCCCCTCCAACGATTCCACCCCCCTCCCTCCGCCAGCGGCCGTTATTTCGCGCGCACGCGCACAAGGCCGCCGTCGTTGCCGAGCGGGAGAGTGGGGGAGCGCGCGCCGGGGGCACGGAAGGGGCGGGGCTAATCCCTGAGCGCGCGCCCGCCTAACGGTCGCAGGCCTCATGCTTCGGCTTCCTCTTTTTGCGTCCTGCCGGCCACCGTCCTCCCCGCCTCACTCCAGCTGTTTATTTACAATCCAGCGCTGACTCGCTGCCCGAAGATGGCGCCCAGTGGAGTCTCCGGCCTCGCTCGCGGCCCACCCCGAGGCGGTCACACCCCGGTCCCGCCCCCACAGCCCCAAAAATCAGGCGGAAGCACCAGAGAAAAAACTGTATTTACACAACACGGGGTTATACAAGGATTTAAAAAGGCGGAGTGAAGAGACGACGGTCAGGAGGGGCCACAGCGCTGGCCGGCGGCGAGACCCAGGATGTTTGCCTGCAACACAGGAGGGAGGGGGGCAGCGACGTTAGAGAGGGACGCGGGGCGCAGGACACGCAGAGGACGGGCAGGGCCGTGACCTCACCTTCAGGAAGGACTCCATCTGTTTCCCCGTTATGCCCTCCACGCGTTCCAGGTCCTCCACCTGGCGGGAC